CCTTTGTCGGGGGCTCAGTGCCATGTTGATGGCACTTCGCTGCTTCCAGCTTTAGGAGCTGGTGCACAGCCCCTCCTCTCCCTGGGCACTCTTCTCGAGCATGATGGACGGTTAAGGTTTGAGAACTGTGCAGAACTGCAATCCAGAAAATATTCCAAGTCGCTTCATCATGCGATTGTTAGATCAACTAAATTAAATACAAAGCGCTTACTAGGGTATAGTTTACAAACGCAGAGTAAACCTGTATGAAAACCGTGGCATTATAATTCAAAGGCAGCAGTATCGGGATCTGTGCACGTCCACGTGTATTGGTGCTTGTAGTGAAAAATATAAGAGGCACCAAAACTGTATCGGCATGATGATAGAAGTTCAATTTTGGGCTTCTAAAACCATCCACTGAAGTGTTTAAAAGTATTGGTGGGAGGTTCCAAGAAAGAGATGCAGAAGAGGAATTGTAATATGAAAGTTTGACAGGGTTGCATCATTTTGAGAAACCCCAGATGAATTTTGAGGTCCAGTAGTAGTTTAACATGACGTTGTTGCAAGAATTTGGAGTTCCAACTCGCCTGAATGTGTATAGAATAGGCAAAACAGCTAGAAGTGGAGCAGGTTGCCGTTGAACCAGGCTGAGCTGGAAGCTGTTTTGTTCAGACGTTGTGAATGTCTCAGCATCGAAGGGGCCAGTTGCAGAGTGGTGGTGGAAGGGATGCCTTTGTTCAGGTGCAGGGAGCGCGCCTGGGAGAAATCCTGTAAACTTGAGCCTGAACTGCTTTGAAGTCCTGACAGGCGCCTGGCGTTCAGCCGCGGTGAGCCGCTTGTACCCGGTGTCTGTAATGGTGGTAATGGAGTACTGCTCAAAATTACAAGGTATACGCATTAATCCCATCTAGTCTCTTCCCAGCCGTCAGTCACTGCCTCTGCTAATACGATTCTCAAGTACTCTGGCTGCTAGATATCTTGCCTGTATCTCAAGGGAAAGGGTTTGTGTTACGTCGCCATTTTTTTGCGCAGCATTTTTCTCTGCCCCTGGATTTGCAGATTCTCTGCCCAACACCATAATGACCACAGCCTGTGCAAGGTGAATGGTCATCGGCTAACTAATTTGAGACATGTACTCCAAGTCATATCTATGTATCTCTTCCTAGATACTCATAATAAAGCCTTGAAGGGATGTATCAAAATCCAAAATCACATGTTGATTTGGCAAAGAAAAAAACGTTCACTGCTGTCACCTGAGGTTGGTGTCTGTGAGCTTTATCCTGGTTTGCTTTTTACTTGTGTATCTTGGGGGAAGAAGAGGATGCCAACACTATTGGAATTTTCCCTTTCCTGTTAAATATGGTTCTGTTTGTCGCTAGATCCTCATCCCCGGGCATCTCCACCCAGAAGGAGCAGCTGAGGATTGCCCCACTGAAGGGGAATCCCCCGTGGCACCAAGCCACGGCACCTGCCTCCCTCCCCTGCCCGCCTCCCTGCCTGCCGGCAGCACGCCAGAGGTAGGAGGGGGCACAGCCCAAACGGGCAGTGCTCTGGCAAGCCTGGAAAGGCTGAACAGCTCTTGAGGGGTGTCTTAATTGACATACAGCAGCCCAGTAGCTGCTCTAATTTGGGCAATCTCTAATTTGAGATTATTAATCTCTAATTTGAGATTATTCTGTCCTCCTCTGTCTCTCGCTATTTTCCACCAGGAGCTGAACTTCGCGTAGCCTGGCTCTGCTGTGTGTTTATATCACAGGGGGCCCTAACGTGGCCGAAGATCTGTCCTGAATGCAGGTGGTAAATGGCATGTGGTGCTATCTTCTTCTTTTTTTTTTTCAAAAAATTCAGTTCTTCAGGTTGGTTATGTTTTGGTGACCATCTTAGAGCAGAAGTTGCATCATGTCTTTGAGCCTTCAGAGCAGCTTCGTTAGCCCAAGGTATTAAGTAGGCTGTTCGTTCAAGCATTTTTTGGCCTAGTCATGTTCCAGATAGTGTCTGAAATGGAAATCATGCAACATTTCACTCATTCCAGTAGTACCTTGGAGGAAGCTTGTAAAATTGAGCATGGAGAACATCATATCCTTACCATCACTGTGGAGCTAAGCATGAACGATGGGCTGCTTGCAAGACTTGGGCATTATCTTGAGCCTTGCCAAACCCATGCCTTCCCCAACAAATGAGAAGGTCGTGACTGTGGAGGCTGACTTCTCTTAAACTTTGCTGCACAAATCAAGTGGAATAGAAACCTAAGGAGATCCATTTCTGCTCAAGGATCACCAAATCTGTGTGATCTTGATCTAGAATACAGTACAAGAACTAGAAGGACAGAACCCTTGGCAGTCTGTTACAGTATAAAGCAATGGTCATTCTTTACTGTGGAGCGATGTGGGGCTTTGCATGGACTATGCAGGCTTTTGAGACCAAAAAACCCCCAAAGACAGAAACCCAGGTGTCTTGAAGAAATGTTGGTGCATCTGGGAGAGAATAAAACTGTCTCTGCTTTCAAAAGTAATTTGGACTTCGCTTCCATTTACCACAACAGGCTTCCCTTGCTCTCCCCTCCCTTCTTTCCACAATTCTGCCCTCCTCCAAATGAAATTTCCGTTGGGTTAAGAGGTATGAAGGACTTCTCTCAATGCTCCCCTGGATCATTTAGTTGGGAGCAGTGCAAGACAGAGTCAACACCCTCATCTTTACCTGCCTTTTTCGATAAAAATGCCACATAGTGGGATATTCCTGTCCTAGGGGTACCATATGCAACATACACTTCAAAACCATCTGGTCCATTGTGCCAAAAATGAGATGTTACAGCCTTTGCTGTTCTGCTTGTAAAGCCAGCAGAATGGTATTTGTACTTGCAAATTTGCCTTTTATCTTTTAAAATCATATTCACAACTATGTCCTCCTTGTTAAGTCTTCAGTTACAGACCGGGATTCGGGAACTTAGTCCCATGGATCTCCCTGCCTGTGGGTTGTAGGCTTTCTGCAGTAATCTTTGCCTTTTTACCTCTTACAATGGAAATGTAGATTAAAGGTTGAGGTGATAATGTGCGGCTTAATAGTTGTCTGTGTGTAATAATATTCTATTGATTGTGTATGCATTGATAACTCTAGAGTATGGTCCCTTCCAGAGAGGCAGCCTGCACTGGGAAAGGGAGGCAGAGGAAGGTCTGCCGGCTACCGTGCACAGCGAGCGAGTCACAGATGTCACTTGTGATGAGTCCCATGAAATCTAGTGGCTGCTTACACGTGGTTGCCTGTACTTACCCTGGGATTTGGTTGGAGTCTCGCAGTACGCCCCATGGCTCTACTAAGGATACCATATATGCATTTGGGAACACAGCTTAATGCAGTAATCATCGTAGGAAACAGGTGAGAGTCCCTGGTTACCAAGCAGGCAGTAACGTAGAGTGTGATGTCATGAAGAGATACAGGGGATGCAGTAGTCCACAGTTAACAGCGCAGTGCGCGTTAACAGAGATATGATATCATGTGCTGAAAGCGTCTGGGACTATCAGAAATAGAAACTGGGATGACCACAGGAGAACAGGTCCAAGGCGTGTGGTCTGAGAGTTTGTTGGAGAAGCAGCAATCTACTTGCTTACGTGTGACTGCTGAAAACTTCGGACCGATACCCGCAAACCACAGACCAACGCTCGAGCAAAAGCACGCGGACGACCAGGAAGCACCTGCTCGAGCAGATGGCACCCGCTGAATGGGGGAGAGGGGCAGCAGAGCCCCGAGCCACCCCGGGAATGCAGAGGACAAGGCAGAACGGCAGGCTGGGCGAGAAACGCTTGGCAGTTGAAGCTGTACGACGTGTAATATCCCTGCCCAAGCACCTGATGGTGCCTTATCGTAAATGCTATCGAAGACATGGTTATGTACTACGGGAACCAACCTAGCCACCTGCTTGTTAGGTTTTCTGCTAGACATTCACCTGCGGGTGCTTTCTTAGCTGTTTAGGTAAGTATTGCGGTGTTATCTGTGGTGGTTGGTTACCTATGGCATGTTGCTCTTCCTCTGTTTCTCACTATGTAGCAGTTTTTTGGGAGAGGGAGGAAAGATAAGTACAGCTCCTGTGGTCTGTCTTGCACTAGTGCTTACTTGTGTTAGTACTTGCTCCAATTAGTGCTTTGATTTGTGTATGCATTGTGGCATAGATAGTGATAAGGTTGACCCTATACAACTTCTGCAAGTTGAATCTTCCTGTCTTTGATGCAGCTAAACATGAATTAGCTAAGGACACTTATTCCCTTAGCCTATATCTCCAAATAAGTTCAGATTGTCCTCCCTAATTCTGACTGCTCATCTACGTGTCTATAATATTACAGAGACTGCAGTGTGATACAACTAAATTGGTTCAGACCCGCTGAGGCCCACTCATCTCGTTCAGGTATATAACAAGGCTCAGAAAGCATGCTCGCCCAGGCTACTTATATCAGGCAAAGGTTTATTCTGTGTTTTGGTGACAGAATATGAGGAAGGAAGTATAAAAATTGTAGCCTTACTGTGCATTTTCAGGGAAGTTCAGTAAATGTTTGGAGAGTGATTCAGGAGCTGGAATTTTCCTTAAAATTACAAAGACTTCTGAAAAACAAATGAGGAATAGGTTTTTAGTCCTTGTGTCATACTTTTGTGGTAGTGAGCTGTTTTAGATGGAATGTAGCTTTACTAAGGTCACCTTTCCACTTCTCCCTCTCTGTATACTGACACAGTTATGTGCTTGCTAACTGTCAAGGCTATAGTGTGCTTGAATGAGGCCCAATGTCCTCACAGGGGGGCTAAGGTTTGAGAGGAGACCTCTGTGCAGCAGCCAGCGTGTTGGAAAAGTGCCCCGTTAATAACCCAGAGGGGCCTTGGAGAGCAATGCCCTCTCCTGGCGGGGGGCACGGTGCTGCCTCTCTGCTTAACTGCAAAATAGCAAGTTCTCGAGGAGGAGATGGCAAATCAGAGTGGAAGGGGAGGAGAGTGGGATGCACAAGACTGCAGGCTGAGAGGCTATGGGCAAATAGCTGCGGGGAATTTTAATACTTATAAAAACTGTATAAGCTGGTGGTGGTTTTTACTGCTTGTGCTGTATGCAAGAGAATTGGGTACGATGCAGCAGTGAGCGTGCACATGGCAGTGACGTTGGGAGAAGCCCCACGAGATCAGTTCATCTTGCTTTTGCACGTGTGTATTTTCTACAGGATTCTTAAATCCCTTCGAACATAAAGCCATCTTAATTTTGACTTGAATTTTATTTTGTGGAGTCATGTTCTTTCAGAAGCGATTCAGTGTGTTAATACACCTCTGACCACGTAAGCACCGAAATTACATTGCTGCGGTCGCAATTCTGGAGCATTAGGAGCCTGCGCTCTGCTGTTTCCTAAATGAGCTCTTCAGTTCCACCAGGCTTTCTACCACCTGCAAACCTGGCCGGATTTACTCCACGGTAGCTTACCTGTGCGTTTGTTTTGACTGTACCTTTGCCCAGTATCTTGGTACTGGGCGCAGCAAAGAAGAGAGCATTGCAGTTCCGTATCAAAGTTTTCTGAAAGGTAAAGAGGAAACAGCAGTCTTGTGCTAAAAAGAGCAAACTAGAAGTAGAAGCTGGTTGGCTCTTCTGCCACCATGTGAAAGGATTTTTCTTCTGCATGCATGGCTATTTCCAGCTCTCCCTGAAATCTCTTCTCTACCCCTGAGGAAGCTTTGTCCAATTCCCCGTCTGCCTCTTCTCCATCCTGCCCTTGGGAAGGGTGAAGGGCTGTCCCACCTCCTGGGGTGAGGACAGATGCCGGTTCTTTCTCAGCATGAGGCTTAAGTGCTGCTTCACTCTGTGCCTTCGGTCTGCTGCATAGCTCAAAGCCAGAGCTGGCCCTAAACTCTGCTGGCTGCTGCAGCTGTGAGCATTTTCCCTCCCTGAACTCCCTCCTGCCTTGCTTCATCTTCCTATGTGTGCTCTTGCAAACTTCCTTTGCAAAGAGGATAAGGCAAAAAAAAAAAGATCTCCGGGCTCTCCAGCCGTACACCAACACGGCACGGTTGGCACCGTGGCACTCTCCTTTACCCTCCTTGCTCCGAAACATGTCCGTAGGTGGGTGCTGTCTCGGATGAGCCACCTTGTTGGCCAGGGGAGATAACGGGGCAGGCAGAGGCCTCGTGTGCTGGCGAGCAAGGACACAGATAGGGGGAAATGTAGCTGCTGTACGATCTGTTTGGGGTGGAGCTGCTTTTTTTTTCCTTTTTTTTTTTTTTTTTTTTTGGCGGGAGCTCTGTGTGTGTGTGAAGCAGATGGCTCAGAAAACTCTGTATTAGTCCCCAAATTGATCTCACTGGAGGATCCTGATACTTAAATACTGTTACAGTAAGAAGATAAAGGCATGTTTGCCTTTAAGATGGCTTTCCTGCTGTCCAAATTTCAAAGCAAAGAGGAGTTTTTGTAGTTTGTTTTTGGGGTTTGGGGTTCCCCTCCCACCCCCCAGTGGAATAGATGTAAGTGGCATCAGGAGCATTTGACTTGATCTTTGGTTTCTTCTAACCAGCCTAAAACTCTTCTGGAAGACTTTTGTGTAGTCATTCCCTATCATAATTCTTCAAGGAAAATTGTAGAGTCTCAGAAAATGTATTTCCTGTCTAACACTGATCCTCCTACTCTCAATGAATCACTTGTACTCTCGTGTTGCTTTGGGCTGACTTCCCTATTGACTTCAGTGCCTGGGATTTAATTAGAAATCTAGGGATGTTATTTGGAGCTATAAAACTACATAGGATTCTTCTCTGTGCAGCGGGATTACAGTAATAAAAAAATTAAGAAAATTAAATATTTGCATATTAACTGTCCTTGGTGTGAACTGAAGAGTTGCTTCATGTTTCTGCATACACCGCTCTTGCAGACTCATTTTATCCCATCCTCAGCATAAAGCAGCGCCCCTTCCCTTTCCAAACTTGTAAACAAACCTCAGGCACGGGAGGGGGTCTGCAGTATACACAGAAGGATGGGTTTTTCTAGGTATTTTATGGGGGAGAAATAACCCCCAGAAATTCTCTGTCAGTGTGAAAATGTCTTGGACGTTCCCAGAATGGGTGGGCCCTTCCTGTGGAGTCGCAGTCCTCGGTGGCAGAGCTTCCCCAGAGCCCAGGAAAACTCATGTTGGCTGCTAAGGCACTTGAATCCCGTAAGCCTGACCTGGCTTTAGGGTGAAAAGGAACAGTTTTATTCAGGGTGGGGCGTACTTAGGGGCTCTTTTGCATTGATGCTGTTGTTTTGTGTCCGTTGAAGATAGCACCTGCAAAAAGTGCAGTGTTCTATTAAAAAAAAAAAAAACCCCAAACAACAAACAAAACCAAAAACTCAACAAAACCCTGCAGCCTGTAACATTTTGTACACACCCGTGGGGCTGCCCAGCTTTGGCTGTCAGGCAGTCCTGTGCCGCTCAGGCCCATGGGGCCATTATCTTCACCTCTGCCTTCGAGCCTCCCTGCTGCAACAGGGCGGGGGAGATAAGGGGTACACTGCTGCAGCAGCAGCTATGCTGGCTGAACCTCCCCTGCCAGCATCATCTGACACATCCCTTCTAATTCCCCGAGAAAGGAGTTGCCTCCGTGGAGATCCCTAAAATACCATCGAGCTACTGTAAAGAGGAAGGCTGAGACCTGGTTTAGGATCACCAGTGCCTGCTGTTGGGTTTCAGGAGTGTCTGAGCAGACAGTGATCTTTCCACACTTGAAAAGCTCGAATAATTTTTTGCATGCAGAGAGAAGCTATTTTAACAACTGATGATATGTTGTAATAGCACACGAATTGTGTGGAGCGTCAAAGTTGTAGGTTAGTTTAAAAATAAATAGATCGGTTTCATATGTTTTAGAATGCTTGTTGCTTGCATATACCAAAGACGATGTTACTTCTAACAACCAAATCGGTTAGGCCAGGATTTGTGTTTTTGAACTGTTTATACCATTTATAGAACAACACAAAGGTGGGCAGTTGAAGCAAAGCCAAGTATCTGTGTTTTTGAAACATTGGTAACCTGGCATGCCAGCAAAAGTAGGGATCAGACTGAAAATAACCTTTGGCATACTTCCCAATTTGCTGGAATACCTTTCATTTTTGCCTCATCTGTGTCATCCTTTGCTTGTGAGTGAAATCTTTATCCTCCACAGAGGATGTCTTACACGCATTTTGCATTGTTCTTTTTCCAGGTTAAAGAACTCGTTCTTGACAACTGTAGGTCATACGAAGGCAAAATCGAAGGCCTTACAGATGAGTTTGAAGAGCTGGAATTCTTAAGTACAATCAACGTAGGCTTAACCTCAGTTGCAAACTTACCAAAGTTAAACAAACTTAAGAAGGTAAATAAAATGTCCTATGCCATATCCCTCCCTCTTTGTACTATACTGCATGTGTAAAATAGTTGTTTGTATAAAAAATGTAATTTAGCTGACCAAACTGCTTTATGATACATGTTTGCACTAAAAACTCAAGATGTTTATGTGCCTTTTAGCTCGAGCTAAGCGACAACAGAATCTCAGGAGGACTGGAAGTGTTGGCAGAAAAGTGTCCAAACCTCACGCATCTAAATCTAAGCGGCAACAAAATAAAAGATCTCGGTACAATAGAACCTCTGGTAAGTTGATGTGGTACAGGGTGAAATCAAACCCTATTTTGTGATGAGTAGAGGCATTTCGGGCTTGGAAAGTCCGAAGCAACTTGCAGCGGAGTGTCTTCGGTGCTTATCTCTCCGGCCAGGTTGCTGTGGGGCTCGGCCGGGCCCCGGCTGTCCCGCAGCCCTGCCCGGGGCTGTGCCGGCAGCCCGAGCGGCTGCTTCCCTCTAGCGGCTGC